CTCTTGGGCATCCTGTTCAAAGATACGATCTCTTGCACCTGCATGTGTTCCTGCTACTGCATTCACTACTATGATGCAGTAGAACCCATGCCAGAACTGAGCCAATGCAGGCACCCTGTTCTTTACCTTTCAAAGTTATCCTATCTCAAGTATTTCATTGTAGTGACATTTTTTTCTAAAATTTGGAGGAAACTTCTGGCATCTACTAGTGTTTCTGCGAATTGCATAACAGGATACAACACATTTACATTGAAAACTGTGAAGACATTTTTCTTAAAAAGCAGTATATGTTAATTATCTACAGCATTTAGCTGGACACCAATCTCTCACTTTGATTAAAAATCAAAGCCATCCTGGGCAGAAAAATTCACTAAACTCCATTTCTAAAATAACCAGGTCTGGAAGTATGGGTTAAGTGATAGAGTGCCAGCCTAGCAAATATGAAGCCCTAAATTCAAACATCAGTACTGCTATAAAAAGGAAAGGAAAGAAGGAAGGAAGGAAGGAAAGGAAAAAGGAAGGAAGGAAGGAAGGAAGGAAAGAGGGAGGGAGGGAGGAAGGGAGGGAGGGAGGGAGGGAGAAAGGGAGGAAGGGAGGGAGGGAGGGAGGGAGGGAAGAAATAAGAGAGAGTTCATTGTGGTATTTTCATACATCTATCCTTTGATCAAATTCAGCCCATAATTTGGCTATTGTGAGAAGTGTGGCTACAAACATTAATGTACAACTATTTCTATTGTATGTTGACATATATTACTTTGGGATATATGCTTGAGTTTCTGACAAAGGATGATATAGAAAGATATGGGAAGGTATCAGAGCATCACAAGGGATAGGGTAATACAACATAATTGATTAAAGTGAGATTACCGGCAGTAGTCCTGAGGGAAGAAGAAAATAAAGGGTTACTAGAGATAGAGAATGTTTGGAAAGGGCCACTGTCTGGGAAGCTTGAGAGGAGGGACTGCCAGTTATGTTGACAATGCAGGGTGCTAGAGGACAAAGGAGCCCTTTGATGTGGTCAATTTAGGTCATTCTTCCTTGGGACATAGAGAGAGGTATAGAGAACTTAAACATGATTGGAGGATTGGGAGATGTCCAGCAAATGAGTGAGGTCATGTTAGTATTATTCACTTTGGAATTGTGCCTGAAGTGGGGAAAAATACTGGTGTTTATTTCACCATTATTCATTTTTAAGGACAAGAGTCAAAGGCATAACTGACAAGGGTTAAATTTCTTAGAACTGAGATTTGCCTGAGCTGTTCTACAGAAATAAAAAAAATCTGCATGGCACGGACTCACAATAAAAGCATAAAATTTGATGATTATGAGTGTTGTCTAATAGTCATGAACCTGAGGAATGATTTTTTTGAGTTTGTCAAACTTGATCACAGTGAGATTGATCATCTATGTACATGGTCTAGGTGAACCTATGGCCCAAAGGCATTGCTGTTAGGACTGTCTAGCAGCAAGAACATATCTACATAACCAGTAGTGTACCAGAAACCTGTATTCACTCCATTTCATGGTCTCTGATTCCACAGCATTCAATAACTATCCTAGGAATACAACTGTGATTCATGATCCAAAAGAAATCTATCTTTCTGGAGCTCTTGAAGAGAGGGAAGGCAATTGGAGCTCATATTTATCTACTCCAGATTCCTTGTTATGAGATAGCTTTGGTTATATTGTATGTACTTAATGCTACTACATTGCTACCCCCTTTTCCCTGCCATAAATTGTATATCAGATCTATAAAAGCTTCCATTTGTTCCTATGAGTCTTCTTAGAAATAAAACTAGTTACCTGTCATAGTTATCATGACATCTAGAGCAGAAACTACACCACATACTATGAGATATCTTGTCTTTGCCTTTATTTATAGGACTGATTTGCTTTAAAGATACTTTTGGGTTCTATTACTAGGTATATTATTACCTTTATGGATTCTTACTAAGTTCGTTTCATATTTTACAAAATCCTGCCCTTTTTCTTCCACTCTCCCCCACAAAAAAAATAAGAAAAACTAAAATTCTTACCTTTTTCTTCCCTTTTAATTTACACTTAATGTGATTGAAATCATATTGAATTTATAAATCAGGGTCTGTTATTGTGAATCATAAGGGATCCTTTTTGTAAAAAAAAATGGGAGATTCTAAAGGTCCATTCAGTGGATCTTAGAGGGAGTCAAGACCTCACATTTTTTGAAAGGGTGTTGGGATTTGAACTCAGGGTTCTGTGGTTGCTAGGCAGATGCTTACTGCTTTTTGCTCTGGTTATTTTTAGAAAAGGTTTCTTTTTTTTTTTTGAGCTGGCCTGGATTATGATTGCTTCTTATGCTTCCTATATAGCTGGGATGACAGAGTGTACCACTAGGTCCAGATTTTTTCTGTTGAGATTAGTTCTTATGTACTTTTTTGCCTGGATTAGGCTGAAACCATGATCCTCACCTTCCCACATAGCTGGGATGCCAGGCATTAGCCATAGCACTTAGCTATTGGTTGAGATGAGGTCTCCAAACATTTTGCCCACATTGACCTTGAACTATGATCCTTTCAATCTGTACCTTTTAAGTAGCTAAGATTACAGGTGTGAGACACTGGCACCTGCTCAAGTGTTCACATGATTAACAAAGTACTCATACCCTGGGTATATGACAAACTACCACACTTTTAAAATGCATTAATAAAATGAGATGAGGTTAGATTTGTGACACAAACCCTTCTTCATAGTATTCCTTTAGGAACTGCAAGTAAACACTACAAGGGTAGTAGATTCCACAATTATTTGTGTAGACTAGGAATGATCTAGGACAAGAACTCTTAACTCAGCTACTATTATTTAATTTTTTAAACCTATTATTGTCAGGCACTGTGCTAGTCAGTTTTGTGATTTGAGAAGAAAATATTTTTTAATTTTTTTGAAACTACAGCTCACACTGAGAAATACATTGTTCACCATGTCAGGAGTACATATGAACAGGTATACATTAACTGAAACAGAAATTATGTAAAAATAGATTCTGATATTTATTATCTAGCTCTGACTGATTGCATTCTGTCTGATGTCATTAAAATACTTCAGATCAGCTGAGTGCTTGGGGCTCATACCTATAATCCTAGCTACTTAGGAGGCTGAGATCTGAGGATTTCTGTTTGAAGCTAGCCTCTGTAGAAAAGTCCCCTGGGCAGAAAAGTCCATAGATTCTTACCTCCAATTAACCAGAAAAAAGCCAGAAGTGGAAGTATGGCTCAAGTGGCAGAGCACCAGCCTTGAGGGAAAAAGCCAAGTGAGAGTGCAAGGCCCTGAGTTCAAGCCCCAGTACTGGCACCAAAAGCTAAAAAGTAAATGAATAAATAAATAAATAAATATACTTCAAGCCATGACCCACTGAATTTAAGCCATACCAATGAAGGGAAGTGAAGCTGCTCTTTGACAAATGCAAGTCTATTTAATAATGTGTGGTGCATAAATTATTTAATGTATATATTTATGATTCTGAGAACATATTTCATGAAGTTGAGGAGATCAGGCTAGGGAGAGTTTCCTTATATATCAGTGATTCTCAAACTTTAACATACACATGATTGCCTAAAAATCTTGTTTAAAAGATTTCTTGTTTAGTAGGTTTGGGGAAGGGATCTGTGATTCTGTATTTTCTATCTTTCTAGGGATGCCAATTTAGCTGATCCACAGAATACTTTTGAATGAAGATGTGCCAAGATTACAAATGTGTCACACTGGTAATGTAGGCACTGGCAAGTTTCTGAAGACAAACTTTTCTCTCAAAATGAGGAGAAAGGTAGATAAGGCACTGACAGATGAGAAGAGCATTTGTGTGCCACTCAAATTTTACCCAAGTCTCACATTATCTGACTCTAAGGGAGAGATGGCTATATGTAAAAACATTTTCAAACAAACTGGGTGCTTTGTTCAAAAATCTAAAATTGACTTGGAACCAGAGATAACACTGACATATTACTCAACAGGGTCATGTAATTCTAAAATGGGGAGGAAACACTTGTTAATTACACATCTATGGGTATCACAGAGTTTGGTGGATGGAGCTTGGCTCACTGTGGACTCCAGGGAAATCAATTGTGCTTTGTCACCTTAAAGGCTCTAGCATAATAATAGCAGTGGAAGCCTTGAGGGGAGAGGGGATAGGTCTTATGAGAAGGGTCACAGTGCCCAGCAGATATGACATTGCCTAGGGGATGATAACACTCACCTTTTGGATTATTTATTCTTGGGTACAGGTGAGATGTACCCCAGGCCTCCTCCAAGTGTCTGATGGAGTCTTGGTTCTGCTAGTGCAGGGGAGAAGGTAGAAATCAGCATAACACACCAAATGAACACTGTACCTCATCTAATCACTTAGTACTTTTGCAGAGGAAATATTATCCCCACTTGAGAAATGAGGAGACTGTCCCCTCAGAGCAATGCATCTGTATAAACACAGGAAAATTCTGACAAATGAGAGTCCCAGAAGTAATATCAGTCTTATCTACCATTTTAAGTTCTAGCAACATTCAAAGTGTTCTCACTGTTTTCATAAACTCATCAAACTATTCTTTCCATTGCTATTAATGAACCACTTTGGATTTTGTAATATTTTATGGTTTTGTAAGAAAATTAATGCTTTCCTTAGGAAAAAATTAACACATTGATAAAAATAAAATTGCCTACAATATAAAAACTCAGAAAACCACTGTTAAGATTTTAGTGATCAAAGTTTTCAATTTTCCCTATGCATAGATGTATTCTCTATTTCTGTATATTATTTTTACAAAAATAGTCTGATTCTATGTATGATATTGTAAGCTGCTTTATTTTTTTACAGACTTATAACATCTATGCAGTTTACATAGGGGGAAATTCCCTAGTGGAAGAGTAAGCACTGTGTTTAGGTAAACTGTCTGCTAATAAAAAGAAAGGATGCCTAAAACAAAGTGTTAGAATAAGGTTAAAGCACAGGGCTTGGTAAATGCCTTCTGGAGTCACTACACATAAGCAATACCTTCGATGTCCCTTCTGGGTGCCCTGCAACCCCCCCTGAGTTCCCTTGGGCCCCTTGGGTAGAAGGGGTCCTGTAGATTTCTTTGCATCCAAAACAAGCCCCCTAATTTCTGTTTGATTTTCCTCCTGTCATCCTTTACCTTTGCCATATTGTCAAATTCTCTTATCATATCCTCATTGCTGAGATTCATATCGTGTATGGCCTCTTTATAGTCCTTGAGATACTGAACCAGCCCCTTGTTGGTTTTCCTTTTGGCTTTCCTGGGTATGTCATCCTCAGCTGGGCGCTTTCTTGCAGCCCTAGTTTCACTCTGACTTTCCCTTCTCTTTTGACCCTGCCTCCCTCTCTGGCTTTCCTGAACAGTCTGGCTTTGCCTCCCTCTTTAGCTTTTTCTCTTTTAGCTCTTTCTCATGCTCTGGCTTTTCTTTCTCTTTTGATTTTCCTTTCATCTCTGGATTTCTCTCCCTCTCTAGTTTTCCTTCTTTCAGATCTCCCTCACTGTTTGGCTTTTCTTTCTTTTTTCCTTTTCCTTCAATCTCTGGCTTTTTCTTACCCTTTGGTATATCCTTATCTTCTACCTTTCTCTTATTTTCTAACATTTCCTTGTCTTTTAGATTGCATGCTACTTGTGGTTTTCCCCCACCCTGTGGCTGTTCATTTTTCATCTTTTCTTGGTTGGAAGGTATTCCTTCATTTTTGCTGTAGAGTTTTTCCATGTCGTGTCCTTTTCCTGTCCAGGGAGGGTGGGGGAAGGAAGAGGAGACAAAAAAAAAAGAGACACGAAAGACTGAGGTTGCAAAACTGGAACTAGGTTCCTTTCGTTTCTTTGCATCTCGCCCTTGTGGAGGTCCACTAAGCTAACCTGACTCTCCAAGTGCCCTCCTACCTGCCCCTAACCCACATTTTCCCCCACATGAGCCAACCATTCCCAGGCTGTCTGGCCCTGCTGTCCTCTCCTTGCTCCCTCAGTACAGCTAGGTGTGTGCATTACAGGTGGGGGTCGGGGACAAGCAGCGAAACCCACATCCTGCCCTGGCCAGGCCCTCCGTACTCTCAGCCCTCCGGAGTCCCTGTCCATGCTGCCACCTTCCACTGACCTGCAGAGATCAGGACAGGTTGTGCCTCCTTTTCAGGCCTGGCACAGCGCAGGGAACAGCAGACGCGAAGACCTGCGGACAGACAGACGGGACACTTGGACCAGGTTCCTCTCCAGAATCCGGACCCTACTCACCGAGCTTTCCCTCTGCTCCCCACCATCCACCCTCAGCCTCCACCCGCGCACCCCAGCCGCCATTTCTTCTCAGGCCCTGGGCTCCAAACCAGGATGCTTTCCAAACTACCTCTGGATCTGTGTCCCCTCCCTCCCCAGAGGCGCCTTGCCCCGCCCCCACTGCCTTTGGGTTGGGATCAATTTGTCTTCTTGGGCAGGCGCAGAGCGCGAGGGGAGGGGGGTTGTTTCCAGAACGCGTCTACGTTTTCACCGTCGCACTGCAGGGCGCACCCCCCACCCCATTGCCTACTCTAAAATGGATGGAGGTCTGGGGGTGGGCAAGGCAGCTGAGCCTCCGCAGGGTTCGCCTTCCCGCCCTGTCACCCCTCCCCAGCTGCCCTGCCCGCTCAGTGCCCCTCTCCTCACCAGTCTGGCTGATTCCTTCCCCACCCGGTTGCAGCAGCTGCTGCTCCTGCATCCAGCTGCCATCCACCTCCACCCCTGACCTGGGTCAGCTGGCAGCGTCCACCTCCACACTAACCTGAGGGGACTCAGGACAGGCCTGCGTCTCCGCGGGCTCGCAGAAGCCCGCTCGCCGCTTGCTTTTTGCCGGCTGCCTAGGCTGCTCTGGAAGCTGATTTTATTGGGCAGAGGGATTCCGCTGTAGGGCTGGCAAGCAAGCAGGCGCAAAGGCTGGTGCCCAGGTTGGCCCTCAGTGGGTCACGTGAGCGTCACGTCACTGGAACTTGCCCCTCCCTCTCGCCCGTGTACCTCAAGCCCCTCATCCTTGACCGATCCAGCAGCTGTGGGGGACATCCCCAAGAAAGAAGAAGGCTGACTGCCCCCAAGTGCTTAACCTGACCCATTTCCCAGAATCCGTTGTCATCAAGTGTATGGCAACCAATCAAAGAGGATAACCTATTTTGACAGAGTCCCTCAGCTTCTAAATCCCACAATCATATTCAAAATCAACTCTGCCTGACTGCAAAACCTGCCCATGATGCCTGACAGGAAGTTGAGGACGCCAAGGAATCTAGGGTTCTGTCCTCAGCCTCATCTTTCTTTAGTTCACACATTCTTGTTTTTGTGTCTGTACTGGGGTTTGAACTCAGACCTAGAGCTCTTCCTCGGCTTTATCTGCTCGCGGAAGGTGCTCTGCTACTTGAGGCACAGCTCACTTTCTGGCTTTTTGCTGATTAATTAGAGCTAAGAGATTTGTCTGCCCCTACTGGCTCCGCAACTATCCTCAATTCTCAGCCTCCTGAGTAGCAAGAATAATAAGCTTGATCCACTGACAGCTGGCCACCCCAACAATCTGATCTTACCAACTTCCTTTTTGCAATTTACACTCCAACTTTTGACCTCTTCCCACTAAGCAAGAATGTCAGAAAGTTCACAGAGAAGATAGTAAAGCATTCTTGAACCTTTACCTCAGATGCAGCTTCATCATTATCCTTGGATCACAATAGTCTGCTATTGTTGTCCTTGGCTTTTCCCTTTTCTTTTCCTACTCCTCCTTTCATCCCTTATCTCTTTTTGGGAGTCATTACTAAACCCAAAAGTTAGAAATGAAAAACCCTACACAACAGTGGAGAAAGCAAAGTATAAATGGAAAAACTGGATATTCACATGTAAAACAAGAAAGGAAACTACATGCAAAACAAGAAAGGAATCCACATACAAACCTGATATTTTCCTAAGAGTAACTCAAAATAGATTGTAGATATAAATGTAAAATAAAACTTCTGAAGGAGGACAAAATAAAAAATAACTTGATTTTGGTGGTGGCTTTTAAATACCATTCCAAAAGCATTGATATCATGATATGTTTCTTCCAGACTACGAGCAGGCTTTTGCTAAACAGTTTGCCTAAATTCTTCATTTCACATCCCAGTTTGATGAACTGACAAATGACAAATCTTGCCATACAGAATTCAGATGCTCTAAAAGCAGAGTAAATTGTATAGTAATTAATAATGTTCCTACAGGAGACAAAAGAAATAATGAATTGGCAAACTGAATGTCTTTTTTTATGTATTGAGGTGACCCCCAATGTTGGAAACTAAGTGAAGTGACGACAAAATTTCTATCAGAGAATGAAAATTTACCAACAGACAATATCACAGATAGTTTCAGCACCATGGCTAGTGCATGCACAGTATTTCTGAAAACACTGGAATCCAAATGCAGATTTACAAAGGAAGAGAAAATGTCATTCTACTTGAGGGAAATAGTGTGTGTCAACATACTCTATGACCATCACACCTGGTGAGGAGCATTTGAAAAACTTAAAATATTGATATGAAAATTAGATTTATAGTTTTTAATGACCAGCTTCCATATAATGCAGAAGGTCTTTGAAATACTTTCAGGTACATTCTAAAACATTTGAGTCATGAGACCACGTCCAATCAAATTAAATCCTTGCTGCAATGACAGTTCTGGAGTAAGAACCACTGGAGATAGTTTTAGGGCTCTGCCATGATTAAGGAGGCAGTTTATTAGTGATTGCAATTACTATCTTCTTTATTTTTCCTTTTCTTTCTTCCTTCCAGTCATCTTCCCACTTTTAAAATCATGTTCTTAGTCTTGTTTATTTTATTTGTTTGCTTGATTTGTCGGTCATGGTGCTTGAACTCAGGGCATGGGCACTGTCCCTGAGCTTTTGTACTCAAGGCTAGCACCCTTACCACTTTAAGCCACAGTGCCTCTTCCAGTTTTCTGGGGGTTATTCAGAGATAAGAGTCTCACAGACTTTCCTGCCCAAGCTGGCTTCAAACCATGATCCTCAGATCTCAGCCTTCTGAATATCTAGGATTACAAGCATGAGGCACTTGCACCTGGCATGTTCTTAGTCTTAGTGCCAAAATCAGTAAAAATGATTATTCTTATGGCTTATTCTTGTGGTTGAATATTTCTTTTTCTTTATGGCTGAATAGTATTCCATTATATTTTTATACATATATGTACATATATGTATATTACATGTGTGTATATACATGAATATGCATATGTAGCATTTTCTTTATTCATTCACTTATGGATACTTTGGTTTAATTTATATCATGGCTACTGTGAATCGTGCTGCCATAAACATGGATTACAGATGTCTCTATCATATACTGGTTTCATTTCTTTTCTATATATATAAGCAGTAATGGGATTGGTGGATTATAAAATAGTTCTCTTTTTAACTTCTTGGGGAAACTCTATACTGATATTCATAATGGCAGTGCTAATTTACATTCCCACTAGCAGTGAATAAGGATCCCTGTTCTCTATATCTTTATTAATATTTATTATTTTTGGACGTTAAAAATAATAGCCATGTTGAAAGGACCTAGCCAGCAAGATAAATAGAAAGCCCACAGATTGGGAGAAGTTCTTCACTAGCCATACAACAGACAAGGGCCGCATATCAAAAATACACCTTTAGCTCAAAAACTTAAATTCCCCAATAAAAAAATCCTTGAACAACCACCCGATTAATAACTGAGCTAAAGAATTAAAAAGAGACTTCTCTGGAGAGGAAATAAGAATAGCCAATAGACACATGAAGAAATGCTCAACATCTCAGGCCATAAAAGAAATGCAAACCAAAACTACATTGAGATTCCACTTCACCCCGGGTAGATTGGCCATCATCAAGAAAACAATAAAAGATCCTGGTGGGGATGTGGCCAAAAGGGAACACTATTACACTGTGAGTGGGAATGTGAACTGGTTCAACCACTCTGGAAAGCAGTATGGAGATTCCTCAAAAGATTACACATAGAGCTTCCCTATGAACCAGCAATCCCACTTCTGGGCATTTACCCAAAGGATCACAAACAAAGCCATACTAAAGCTACCAGCACGATTATGTTCATTGCAGAATTATTTACCATAGCTAAGATATGGAACCAACCCAGATGCCCACTTAGTAGATGAATGGATCAAGAAAATGTGGTATATATACACAATGGAATTTTATGCTTCCATCAGAAAGAATGATGTCACTCCATTCATAAGGAAATAGAAAGACTTGGAAAAAGTCATATTAAGTAAGCCATACCCAAAGAAACATAGGTTCCATGGTTTCCCTCATTTGTAATAATTAGTATATGTCAAGGATAGTCCTAGTAGAGGCTCCATGGTTTCCCTCACTTGTAATAATTAATATATATCAAGGATAGTCCTAGTAGAGGGTCACAATAGCTCAAAAGCTATGCATATATGACCATATAAATGGATGCTAATCTAATAAGACAAGATGCAAACATAAAGGGGATCCAAATAGGGAAAGAAGAAGTAAAACTCTCCCTCTTTGCAGATGACATGATCTTGTATTTGAAGAATCCCATAGACTCCACTCCCAAATTACTCAAGCTGATTCAAAACTTTGGCAAAGTAGCAGGGTATAAAATTAACCCTCAAAATCAATGGCTTTTCTGTATGCCAACAATGAGAAAAGTATGGCTGAAATTAGGAAAGCAACTCCATTTGTAATAGCCTCACAAAAAATAA